AAATAGGGAAAACCTAACATTAATTGTAAAGCCATTGCTCTATAGAAAGCACTGTGTTAGACAGAGGGGGATATAAAATCTATACCATTAATACAGTCATAGAAACCAACCAACAAACAAAAGACTTAAGTGCAATTTCTCTGCTTTGGAAAAGGCCCATTTCCCAAAAAGGGGCATTGTCTGTATTTCTTTTAGAATTGAAGAGTGTAGCAGTATGTATTACCTCAATAAAAATGTAAAAAAAATTGATTTATTTTAACAGGAGGATCTTTGCAAGAGCAAGGTGAGATGAAATGACTGTTGTGGATTTTGAGGGGCTTAACCTAGGTCTTAAGGTGAAAAGGGATGCAGCCAGGCAGGGAGGAAGAAAGAGCAGGTTGTAGTGGAGAGATTGGTAGTCAAGTCGTGATTACAGACTAGTGAGTCAGGAGATAGGTTGCAGCCGTCTTGAAAAGTCTCTGAATACTTAGATATGGAGTTTGGATTTAATTCACTAGCCAAGAGGGAAGATGACAAGAATAGCATAATCAAAGCTATGCTTTAGGATGAATAGTGTGTAAGAATCAATTAAACAGGAAGAACAAGGGATACCACAAAGTCTGCAGTAAATCAGAAGTGAGGTGGAAAAGGGCTGAGCTGGATTATGGTAGAGGAATTGGAAAGGAAGGGACTTTTGAAGGAAGTATTAGATGATTTGTTCAATGCTCTCTGCCTCCAAGCACAGTACCTGGAATGCTCGATATTGGTTGAGTGAATGACTCATATGAAGTAGAGGAAGATTTGGATAATGAGAAAGTAGAGAAAGCTGGTAAAAACCTTCATTCAAGAAGTCTGGCAAGGTGAAAAAGGAACAAGGCAGTGGTTGAATCAACTTAAAGGATTTTGAAGAGTGATGCTTAGGCCTCACTTGTGAGCCATTTCTTCCATGATACAGTTACCAGGATACAGGGACTATCTGTTAGCTTTGCAAGAGAAGAAAATGAATTTGCCAGCTCCTCTGGGTACAGGAGAACTGACTCAGTTCCCCTGATGATTTTGATGAGTTTGGAAGCTGGAATGCCATGGAGTTATTCTGTGTGTTTCAAGAACTAAGATTGTTTTTTCTGCCAAAGGCAGTACATTCACTTATGATATCAATTTATATACCCAAAGATTGCTTGATTAAAAACAGAGATTTAGTCAGCAGAGTTTGATATTTCTCAAGGGATATTCCATCAAGCAATGCTACATGATATACAAGGGCACTTCAAAAAGTTCGTAGAAATACAATTTTTTTTTTGAAGTTCCTACAACAAGCAAATGGAAAGGACATGCCTGGGTGGGTGGNCCTCTTTTAGTGTGGACAGATGGAATGAGCTTTGTTATTAAAATAAGTACATTTCCTATATGAATTTTGTTTCAAGGGGACTAAATAGTGGATTAGAGAAATTGATCCCTGGTAGAATTGCAATTAATGGAACAGAAAGATTGATAAAATTTGTATATCACCATTTTTGCAGTCCATAATGGAATAATATCTAGGCAACAATCATCAATGGCTCTCAAATCATTAGGAGAAAACTGATGGGCACTTTAATGAAACAGATTGACGGCACCTGAACCTACTGACTAGCCTGATCGTCAGGAAGAAAGAGACTTCATGTGCATTTTGATGTGATGCAGTAGGAAACACAGCATTTCTTTTAAGTATTTTTGCAAAAAAATCAAACCCAAATCTGAGTAAGCCTCTAGTCCACCTGTTTATTGGAAATACAGTGATAGAGAAATATGTTAAACCATGTGTCACCTATGCTATTAGTCATATCCAGAATATGGGAATTTATACAGCCTTGCTACTCTGAAAATGTGGTCTGCACATACCTACTGAGATGCCTACTGAGAGCTTAAAAGAAATGCAGTCTCAAGCCCCATCCAAGGCCAACTGAATCAGAATCTGCATTTTAACAAGATTCCTAAGTAACTTGCTCGTACCTTAGAATTTAAGAAGCATCCTACAGGACAATGACCTATCTTCTTTGACAAATAGTAAGAAAAAAAAGGGGGGGGGTACTATAATAGTTTAAAGGAGGTTTAAAAGATACATCAGTCAACTGTCGTGTGGATTTTTTTGTATCTTGACTTGAACAAACTAACTGTAAAAACATTTTTGTGATAACTGAGGTCTGATTGTATATAAGATGATACTAAAAAATTACTTGTTAAAATTTTAGATGTGACATTATTGTGATTTTTTTTTAAAGCCCTTAACTGTCAGAGAAGATACATACATGATGAAGAGTTTAAAATAATCTGAGGCATGGGAGTGGGAGAGTATAGATAAAATAAAATTAGTCATATATTGATAATTGTTGAAGCCGAGTGGTAGGTACACGGTGGTTTATTATACTGTTCTCTCTACTTTTATATATGTGAGTAAAAAGGAATAGAGTTGTAGTTTAAAATGGTGATGTTAAAGATAATGATAAAATCAACTTTTAATGTTCAAGCAGTTATGAAGGAAAACTTTCAAATATGGAAGGATGTAAGGAAGAATTTACAAAATGCAAAATGTAAAATCGTATCTGAAAATGTTCTCAGTATCAGCCATTATATCAAATCAAATGCTATCAGATTTGAGAAATTCACAGAAAAGAGGAGACAATATTTCATCACAGAAAGATGTTGAATGTATGATTTGATTCTGAATGTGTACACAGAGGCTTAAATGTATAAGGACATTAAACTTGCCAATCATTGGACCTTTAAAAGTGCAGTGCCTTTGTACTGCTATTCGGTCCTTGTGAATTAAAAGGTCAGACTGTCACATCCTGAGTGCTACTTAGATTTCTAGCAGTTACAGTCATTTCACCTTTAAGGTAAATTTGTTTAGATCACTGAGAATAATTTGTGTGATTTCAAACTTTAGGATGGGACCTACAAAGCACCTGATTCTATAGGTGTGTTTTAACCCAACTATTATTACTTAGTCGCTAAGACTTCCACCAGAGCAGTTCTCCCAGTACTCTCAACGCTTACTGCATAATAGAATGACCTGGGAAGCTTTGAAAACTACTCTCATCCAATCCTCACCCCAGGAAATATTGATTTGATCACCTCGCTTCAGTTTAGTGATTCACAAACTTTAGCATGCATTGGAATTACCTGGAGGGCTTCTTAAAACATGAATTGCTGGACCTGCCCCCAGAGTTTTTTTCTTTAGGTCTGTACTATTTTGCATTTCAAACAAGTTCCCAGGTGCTGCTGCTGCAAACAGCACTCTTTGAGAACCAGTGCTCTAGTTTTTTAAGCTACTCAAGTGATTCTAATGGCAGCCAGTGTTGAGAACTGCTTGCTTTGTAGTGTTACCTGTGATAAGGGACGCTGGGGTTTTTCAGGCTTTTGGTCCAAAGTACTCATATATTCAAATTGTAGACAATCAAAAAGATACAAAGAAGTAGCCCCTTGTTAAGTCTTAGGAGATGTTCCTTCACTGTTAATGTGGCAAAATTGAGAGGAGTAACATTAATGACCTTTTTATCCTGGCAGGAAATTCTGGAAAAGAGTCCAGCAGCTGTGTGAAGTGTGTGGCTTGTGTAATTTTGAATGGAGGGCAAGTGACTAGATCAAAAATTCCACGGAGCAGAGGGGGCAGGAATCAAAGCCATGCCTCTGTCTCCCCCAAGCGGTCCAATAGACATATCATCGCTCTCTTGGGCTCACAGGGAAATGATACCGAATATTATTAGTGGGACAAAGATGTAAAGAATGTGCATTATAATCATCACTACAGTTGATTGCAGAGTTCTATTCAAAAAGCCCTTGTGTAGTGATCCCTGTTGTTAATACATTGCCAGCTCATTT